GATATCCGTCCCAGGAAATATCTACTCCCGACGCCTTTAGCGACATTGCATCATACAAAATGTTGCTCATCAATGGAAACTGTAATACTCGTCACTCCTGAAGTTGTCATTAATGATATAGTTTGATCATCAAATTGAGAGAAGAAATACGGGTGTACTTGACTCATGGTTGCTAAAGAGAGACTTTCTAATGATGCTCTGCTTTTTAGAGTAGACAAACGAATCAAGTCATCGTGGAATTGTAAGTTCAATCTGTTATGATCTGATTCCTCTTGGCCAGTCATGCTAGTATGCTCCTTGTCTCTCTCTTCATTCTTTCTCGTTAATGATGTGTGTCCAGTTGCAGAACAGTCATAGCGTGGTGTACATATGTGTCATTTGTTTACTCTTTGTAGTATTTTTTTTGTCTGTTAAATTTTTTTTCTGCAACTCTAGCCTTTCTTAAATAAAGCTAGGCGATCCTCTGGTCACTCACTGACACAGTGAGTCTAATACAATCGACAAAACACGACATTGTGTATCTTTCGATCGATAGTAAAAACAAATCAATGGAGAATTGGCAAGTCTAGCTTTGCTGAAATCGATACCCGACTCGTCATGTTCTTAATACATAAAAAGAAACAAAACTCACTGCTCATTGTAGTTATTATGGTTGTCATTTCCGATGTGGTAGTTATGGTAATGGTGATAGTGAATGTCGTTTCGGCTAAAAGAAAATCAATATTTTGTGGTTATTGATTTTTCAGAAAAGTACGATGGATCTAATTATGTTTTGCTCTTTATGAATTCGAACGAGCCTGAAGTGAGACATGCATGAAATTCACTCGGACATATTCTTTTCGCAAAGAATATCACTACACAGGAGACGAAATGCGGTGACATGAATGCACAGGAAAGCAACCCAAATCAAATGAAAGTGACCGTCTCTGAAAATCAATCAACAGGTTTGGCCAAATGCTCCGACTATTTAACAGCCAATATGTCATGTGCAATTATGGCTCATTCTTTCACGTTTCGTAGAGTGCAAAATTCTACATCTGTCTAGCTGATTTTGGGCGCATTCGAGCTGGTTTCTGATTATTTTGCCTCCTAGTCCCATCACAAATCCCGGTCACGCTGAGAGAAAGATTACCCTTGCATCTCTGTTTATTCACATTTGAATCAATTGCCAGTTTAAATTGGTCAAATTGTTATCAGCAATCTCAGCTGTACTAGGCTTAGAAGTAGTAATAATTATCAGGGAAGAAGGGTTTTTGAAGTCTACTAAACGCCTACAGGGGTGCACGGTAGGCAGTATAATTGAACACTTGAATTGTTCGCATATCATGCCTGTTAGAAAATTCAAATACAAGGAAATTTTTTTTATCGCCTGCCTGTCAACTGTGGAGTAGATCAGAAACGGGGTAAACCAATTTTTCCGTCATACGCGTGACTATGACAGATAAAACTATTCAAAATACGCTGACTCTTTTTGGATGTACATTTTTCAGTTGACATAGGATCGGAAAAAAGTGTTGTAACAATACGATCAAAAATGAAGCCTTGTAAACATGAGAAAATATTTTACCAGGATGAATCATCATGTTCTGAAGTGTTGGAGTGCTCAAAATTGCGAGATCACTGGATTGCGGAAGTGCCGTATGGTTGTTTTTTTTGTGAGACATTGTCGCCAAAGTCAAATTCAAACACGTTCCACATTTGATTTTCGTCGTTGGACTATCGGTTCGAGATGAACTATGCCCAACGAAACGAAATATTCTATGCAACACCTTTCGAGTACTTGACTTACCGTCGTTGCAATAATCGCCACAGACAAGCAGAAAGAAACATGAGTGCGATCAACGCGACAACCGCTACTATGATATACTTGCGTACGACTCGTTTGTTTGATTTTAAAACACTCAATCTCGCATAATGCACACTTTCATTCTGGTTTTTGTTATATCTCATTCGCCAAAATCTTACAAGATGCACCGATACAAAATTCGTTGTACAACTAAAGTTACTGCACTATCGAATAACGACAAAGCATATATTTAATGTAAAGGTTAGATAACGCGCATTTTCTCCAAACAAAAACAATGATACTTGATTGATAGATAAGAATTTTATGATCGAATCAATAAGAGTATTCGTTTTCATCTTACTTACCCATAGTTCCATACATTTACATGATGATTATTCATATGGCATGTTTCAATTGATACGAAAGACTCATCGAAAAGACATTCCGATCATCGGCCGGCTAGATGATCAATCAACTAGTCTCACAAGGGAGCATATTTGAGTGTATCCATGTAAGAAGAATTTAAAACACGTCTATCCTGTGAGGTCCTTCATGAATATCTCGAATATGAATATTTTAGCTGCCCTCGTTTAGATCTAAAAAAAAGAGAAGACTAAACTTTTCAGTTTTAGATCTTATTCTACTAATAGACGTATCATACATTTTTTTTGTACAATTCACTGAAAAGATCATTTCATTTTTAGAAAACAGTTCTAGAAAATCAATAAGATTCGTTATGCGAGCTAGCTCTCTGTCGAAAATAGTAGTATTATATTTTTTTTCATTTAGGTATTCGCTTAAGGGCTCCACCCCTTAGAAAAATCGATTTTTTGAGGAAACTTGATGTTGACATTGATGCCTATTCATATAGCCTTGACATTGATTTTAAGTTGACAATTTTTTTTTGTTAAAGAAGAAGGCTAGCTGAGTAATAAGAGAATTTGAAAAAGAACATGAAAAGAATAAATATCTTTTAAAGTGATTTCTTTAATTTCTATTGTTTTCTCTTGATTAACATGTTGATGCTAGCTTTTATTGTATTTATTTCTGGCAAGTTATATCTATCTAATAAAAACCCGAATTATTTTCTCGTTGTTCTAGCTTCTATGTTAATTTCAACGGCTCATGGTAATTAATCATTTTGATTGAAACTATGAATACGTCAGTCAGTAAGTTATTTTTTCTCTCTTTAGTGCAGAAGTATCATCCTTTTATTAAACCAAAACTTGACATAAAAATTAGCGTGTGGGTATGGATGTGGGTGTGTGGTGTGGTTATGAGTGTGAGTATGGGCGTGTGTGCGGGTGTGGGATGTCGGTGGGTGTGGGTGCGTGTGGGTGTGGGGTGTCGGTGGGTGCGTGTGGGTGTGGATGGTATAGGTGTGAATGTGGATGTGGGCTGTGGAGTGTGGATGTGGGCGTGGGTGCAGATGAACACCCACACCCACACCCTCAGTATATCAGAGTTGTAGCCGGTTCGCTTGAAAACTATTTTATAGATATGCCATTTTTTGTTTGATAGAACTTGTTGAAGACAGACTTGAGTATTCTTATCAAAATAAATAACCAGTGTGGTTTCAAAAATTGTATTTGATTTTCTTCTGCTCGTCCACATCTCTTTATTTCTTTACAAGATGCAATCAAAACTGTGTTACTTTAATTAAAAGTATCTGATCCAGGCTTTGTTGACGATCACACGTAGGTTTAGATTGTCGTAAGAAAAGAAGTGTTAGGTCTGTTTGTAAATGTTCAGTGTGAAAAATTCAAAATTTTAAAAGTGTACCGATTAGTTGATGGATAAATTATGCTATTTTTCATGCTGCACATAGATATCCCGCATATTTATGTTTGAAAAATTAAACAAATATAAACGACTAGAATATGAGGTTTCTTCTTAGAGACTTATAGAAATCTTAGCGACAAAAGGAAAATGAATGTTTTTTAAGCTATTTCTGCTAACTAATTAATTTTCACAGGTCTAAAAACTTTCTTGAACCGATCGGATCGGGTTCGTCTATCATCTTGACGAGTCGAACTGAACCAGTTCAAAAATTTTAGACCAGCTAAAACCTCCAATCGGCTCCTATGTTTATTATCGACAGTCTTATAAGCGAACTGAGAATTCAGCTCATTGCAATATAAGTATTCAAGAAAATACAAACGTAAAAATTTGTAGGTAGTCAAAACGAAATTATGTCTCTAAGACCAATTTTATCACCGAAAAAAAACTTTATGAACTGATCGGCTTGAACTGGTCTAGTATTGCTTCAACAGTTACAACTCTGGTTCCTCTAGAAAAACTGCTAATAAAATACAGAAGCAAATTAATAGTACAGTCGTATTTTTTCATTTAGTTAGAATTTGTTGAGAGAGAACAAGAATTGTGAAAGGAAAAAAGATATAATTTTCGATGTTAATTTTCTTTTTTTTTTCAATAATTATTAAAAAGACTGAATACGTGTTCAATAATAAAGCAACACATTTGTTCTGTTATTACATTTTTGGCAATAGTATTAACTGTGTAAAATCTTGGAAAAATATTTCTTACAATATGTTGATCTGAATCGAATAGCAATCGTTGATGTTGATAAAAAGAAGTGTATATCAGCAAAAAATATTTTACGCAAGATACTAATATAGAATGGTTAATGAAGAAAGTTATTAGTAAACGAATGGAACATATTTCGATTTTTGATGAAATTTTAATTAACATTTTATTCCACATAGCGGTTTCAGACGAGTCACTAATGAAACAATGATTGAAATAGAGTATTGGTGTCTGGGATATATCAAGACTATCAGCCGATCAATCAAACACACTCTCGTTGATAATGACGTTTTAGTCACATCAGTAACCATTGGAAGAAGAACGACTCGAAAAACAAATTCTGCTAAAAGCATTTCATGAACCTGATCCAGTTTCACTAACAAACATCGTATAGAGATATAAGACGTCTTATTTTGTAGAAAACTATTTGTTCTATCATTACGTATAGCGGGAATAAATTTTACATACGCTTTGCAGACACTAGTCTGTTTCTTACGATCTCTTACCTATTTAGCTTTTTTTAAGCTCTCGAATAGCATTGATATTAGGAGTAGCAATAATCGTCGTCATATATTACACAAATCATTCTTATCGCATATCATCGCTATTGTTTAGAAAGCATTTTATTAAAAAAAAACTTTTCTCAAAGTTCTTAATCCCACTTTTCATGTATTTTCTTCAATCGTTCTATAAATCATCACGTAAATGATCGAGGGTGTGGGTGCAGATGTGGGTATGGTCTTTTCTTCAACTATACTCACAACCAATATAGATATATCAGGGAATATTCTTTTGGTGATATTGCAAAATCAAAAGAAGTTGATTCGGATGAAATCGAGATTGAAGTAAAACCTGAACGATTTTGTCATATATCAATCAGACAAAAGTACACGCATGGATAAATCGAATCGAAATTTATTTCATTGGACCTAAAATTCCTCATCATTTTTTTATGTCATTGTGAATCATCATCAAGTGATGCTTTTTATTTCTATTATTATCATATAGTATTTAAGATTTGACTTTTGAACTATTTAATCTGTAACATAATTCATATAGATAATCATTTTCATTAGATATATAAGATGTCTTGATTTATTCATTTAAACTTGAAAAATAATTATTATATTTCATTTTTTACTGAATTATTTCAATTTTTTGTAAGCAGAAAACATCGAGAAGCATTGTTGATGTCGTAAAAATAGACAAAATATTAATTATTTAACTTCAAAGCAGAACTGTAAAGTATGATTCCCACTTAAACTTTTCAGAAACAAATATAATATCAGAGATAGTTGATAAGTTTTTTATGATTCACTTGAAGAGATTCATGATAACGGTTCTTGCATAAATTTATTTTTAAGGATTTTTACTGCTGAATCTGTTGCATACTGAGAGAGTAACAGGAGAGTACAAGTTTCTTTACATAAGTTATTGTTATGTTTGCTTTGTGCTTTCGTCCCGTAAACAGATTTTTTTCAAGCCTTGAATCGATTTTCATAATTTTTTTAATTTTATCATCTCGATTTCACTCTATTTGTTTCCTTGTTAGGTTATTTACCTTGACATTTAAGTTTTATATTAATCATATAAGTCCTATAGCTTTCTTCAAAATGAAAATTGAAAACCAAGCGTATCAAGATTTGTGGAATTTCAACAGATACGATTATGAATTCATTGATATCCCTTTGAATTTACTGGACTTCGCCAGATTACAGGAAGCACTTTTTCTCTCTGAGAACATTTCGACCCTATATCTCTAAGTAGTAGGAAGTGTTAATATTTCTTTTCTAGTGCAATTTGCTTTCATGAATTCTTAGTTTTACAAGATTGCTAAGTACTAATGAAAATCCTTTTATAATCTGGTACAATCTGACGTATTTGTTGGATCTTTCTGAACTATGGCAAATTCTGCAATATTTCTAGGTTCACTAAAATTCACAAGAATTTTGTATCAATGCACTGATTTTCTCTAAATCAAAAACACTACAAAGTTTATGTTGAAAACTAATTTGAAATAAAAACGGTAAAGTCCTTATGACCATGGTATTTTATCAAAATCATCAAGCGTTGTGATGGAAGCATATTTCAAAATTTGAACAAACTTGGAGAGCATAGCACTACATAGAATCACTGTTACTTGTGATTGGGTAAACTTTTGTAAAAATATTAAACAATTTGTCACGAAAAATCACCGCCGTTCTCATAAAGTACCTTCAGTCAGCATTTCATCACAAACTCATGTCGATAGTAAACATCGGTCGACAATAAAGATATGAACACAGCCGATTGCAGAGTGATAATTAGTAATGGAAAACAAATACATGATAGTTAATTAAAATATGTTTTGTTTTTAATCATTGAAAATAGCACTGGTCCATTTCGAGATCTTTGTTATCAAGTTTCTTCTCTTGATATCACTATTATTAAAAGAGATAATGTCATTGGACAATATGCCATTTAAAACATCATCCTAAGTACTCGAAGCTGATATAGATATCCGTAGTTGGGTAGAGTACATCCTTTGTTTATATATGAACTAATTTTTATTAATATCCAGAATTTATGGTACACGCTTTATGCAAAATAGACATTGAATCAGCTTTAGAAGCATCAGAATGGTTTGCTAAAATCTTGATTGTAAAACATCTGTCAACTATTGGTGTCTTCTAAAATACATTAAAGTGTCGAATTCTAGCTTCGAGAAAATATGCAAAGACAAGCTATAAATAAAAGTGTCTGGTTTTTCAATAACTGATCTCTATTTCAATATTTTGAATTGTTCTTAAGAAGAACAAATGTGATTTCATTATGTAACGAGTAGTTTATAAAGGTTAAGGCAGTTTTAATTTTCTCTGGAATTCAGAAGCGAACTTCAGATGTTTAATTCCATGCTCTACAAACAGATGATTCTGAACCCTATAAAAATTGCGACTTCGTCTTTCAGGTCAGTCTTCTCTTATTGTTGAAAAAACTAACAGATATTTGTTCGCCTGGCTACGATATTCTCGTTGAGCATCAATCGGTTTCTGTAAGCTTGTGTTCTATCAAGGGTGTGAGTGTGAGATATAGATGAGAATGTGGGCATCGATGTGAAGCTAGCACGACGAGTAGCTACCACGATGGATTTAGATGAGCTTGGAATCTGTAACGCTGGGCGCTGTTGAGGCTGAAGTTGAGTGAGCGTGCTCGGTAATGTGTACCGAAGCACCCACACCAGATCCCGCCCCCAAAAGTCCAAGTATTCAGGATTTTAGATTTACCTAAATCCGTTGTGGTAGCGACTCGTCGTGTTAGCTTCACATCGATCATGTGGGCGTGGGTATAGCCTTTTCTTCAACTATACCCATGCTCTCATTCATCGAGTTGCAACATAAACAGGTTCATTTTGACGATTAAATCTAAATGGTACATATATAAAGTAATCTTTTTACGATAAATTGTAGAGCTTTTTTCCCTACGTCTTATTTTGAATAAAATACAATAGGATGATTCATTATTTGTTTAAAATGTTATTTGAATAATTTTAATATTTAGCATCATAATGTGAATAATTTTAAATATGCCGATAGTCATAAGTCACCATTCTCATTATCAAATAAATAAAAAAGATTTTAAACAATCAATTATGGATTTTGTTTTGTGCACAAGCTGGAAAACTTGTTCAATTTCTTTTTATTCTTCTTAATACACTTCTTTCATTATTAGTTCGACCATCAATTGTCAATAGACATATTTTTAGATATTTATTTTATCGAATAAATATAAATAAAATTTTTATTTAGTGAATGTTAATCAGACATGTTTTGAAATATTAACAAAAATAGTTCAATGTGATATTCTTGCTGGTCTTAATGATGCACATGGAACAAATCATGTACTTTTAGCTTATATTCATTATCAATGTAAATTATGTACACCAACTGAAACTGGTTATTTTAAATTTTTTTAAAATTTTTATTGTTTAATTAAATATATACATAGATATGACTGTTTTTTCATTAAAATCAGCTAGTCTTCGTCCCAGTTCATTTTATTTTCAACATCGTGTAACACGTAGTAGATTAAATCCTGATTTACCAAGCCCACCATTATCATCGAAAGATGAAATGGCACTTGCAGTCAATAGTAGTCCTATTTCAACAAGTTTATTTCTATTTTACCATCTATTTCCTTTATCTTATTAATTTTAGATACTTCATCCGAAAAACCGATTGATGAAACATCTCAAGGTGTTGTCAAAGATAGGTTATTCTACAGAAATCTTCCAACAACGAAAAGTAAACAAATAATTTAATTGTAAAAATATTTCCATCGTTAGTGAATATTTAAAATGTAAGTGAGGAAATAGCTTGCTGGAAAACGAGATTATTGCATTGAAACTAATGCTTTATATTGGGGACAAAAAGAATGTAACATTGTATTTTAGCCTTTACTTTGCAGAAAGAATTGTTATTTCAATGGGTTGTTTCATCGTATACAACATGAGATTTTGCTTTTGGTAATAGTTGGTTTTTCTTATCTTATGATTTAAAACTATGTTAAATTTATATCAAGAAGAACACTGTCGTCGAATTGAATCTGAAAAAGAAGCTGAACGGTTGGTAAAAGACAATCATTTAGATGTATTGAATTAAAGTGGCAAGAATAAATAACTTTTCTTCTAATTTTTAACTATTCAATAGTTATTTTTATTATAATACTAAAAATTTTGTAAAAAGCCACATCACTGGCTTGCGAATGTTTCATTCAAAAATCAGTTCAAGTCTTAAACTAAATGCACGAATGATAATAAATAAATTCGTAGTATATTATGATTAAATATACATTTCTGATCAGTGATCATATTTTAATTGATTATTTTGCACCGATGCACCATAATCAAAACTTTATGTAGAGATTTAATTAGGGTCAAAATATACATGTAAATGATATTCTTTCGATTGTCCATAAACAATTGTACCAAATTTTGACGAGTGCCTCGACTTTTTGGTCGCGTCATGGACACTCTAGGGATGTGCCGAAGAGAAAAACGTGGCGGAGATCCAAAAGAAATTTTCTGAGGATTGGTAAGCTGCATATACAATTTTTTAGAAGTGTGGAGATGCAAAATCTTTTTTCCATTGTAAGATCATTTTTCCGATAAAAAAAAACGAAAATTTTCCAAAAGTGGCGGGCGTCACGACTCCACATTTCCCCCATCGGTACATTCGTGGGACATTCTCTTAATAATAAGTGAGTGGTCGTGCTATTTAAACGAAAATACATTCTTTTTGAAAATCTCCGATCATTGAGAAGAAAATTAGTTCTGTCCTGAAGAACACTTTAATTTTTTATTTTAATTTGGATTTTGTGGAACTCACGTATATTTTCGAAGAAAATAGTGAATGTAAGTTTTAAGCTCAAGGTTTGGCGGCTCCCCCTCCCCTTACAGACCATAGCAACGAAAGAGAACATTACAGACAGACCGCCCCCCATTACAGACCTTCACAATCAATAATAAAGTGTTTAGTTTTTTCGAGTTTTTTTTTGGAAAATTGATTCAGCTATAATTTTGAAAAATAATGAATATCATTATTTGTGACTTGATTAATATATATGATAGTGTACAAGGTCTGCTGTAGATATCATAGATATGTAAAATACACTTATTTGTCAATCAATTAAATGATTATAATAATAAGAATG